CTCACAGTAAAGAACTTCTTCCTTAGATCTAACCTGAACTTCCCCTGTTTTAAGTTTTAAGCCATCCCCATTGCCCTGTCACTACAGCCCCTGATGAAGAGTATATCGAAGTCCCTTTTCACACCCCTGGACCAAGGAGATCCCTTCCATGCCCACCAGTCCCAATCCCCATCCCCCCACAGCAGCATCCCTTACCCCACCCCACTTACTGGTGCGCTTCCTGCCCAGGCGCCACCAGGTCCACACCTTCTTGTCAGCCACCCTGGTCCTCCCGAGACAGGAGAGCATGGAACACTGCAGGGGTGTTCCCGAACCACCTGTGTCCTCGGCACGTACTCGCCGGGGTGGTCCCGGGGCTCAGGGTCCATCTGCATCATGGTCAGCTCTTCCTCTGTCAGCTCTGGCCTCAGCCGGGGCAGTCTGGGCTGGAGGACTGGGTCAGGAAAGCTCGTTGTAGCCCCAGCTCTCTCATAGGGAAAGTACCCTGTGGAATGGACACTCAGGTAAGGGAGAGGAGTGGCTGAACAAGGGATTCCCATCACCCTGGGCCTCAGCCCTCCCATGGCCCCTGTAGTGAAGGAAAGGAGCCTGGACGTCAACAGAGGCTGTGAACATATCCCTTGAGTGCCATCAGCCATCCAGTTAACCATCCTGCACAGGAAAACTGCATAAAAAGACGCTCAATAACTTAGAATTTAATCTAAGTGACACCTAAATTATAAAATACCATCAACTGAGTTATGAAGAATGGGGGGAAAATCCCAAATATCATTTTTTCCACGTGGCTGTGTCAGCGCACCCCAAACACAGACCCCACGGATCCAACACTGCCATGAACTCTCTGATCCCCACCATGGAAAATACCCCGAAGGATGCCAGGCAAGGTTGCAGTGAAGGTTTAAGGAACCCCTCACTGACAGCAGGAGCTGGGGATGAAGTTACCAGCAGCACCCATCACCTCCCAGTGAGCACCAAACATCAGCTCCCAGCTCTGATGTTGGCAGATGACATAAAGGTTGGTGAGGAGAGGGTGGAATGAGGACAGGATAATGAGGGAGAGCGAGTGGGTCAACTGGTTTGTTAGGTCCATCCAAACAACAGTTTATTCCAAGGAAATGCGAATATAAATGTCCAGGAATGAAGCCCGTAAACGCCATCTGTGTGGTGGAGACCTGGCTCCTGGGAAACAGGGCCAGGATGGACAGAAAGGCTGGAGGATTCCAAGAAGCTACATGGCACAAATTCCCAGTGAGGAATGGGAAAGCATCGCTTTGGTGTGGCCATCCCCAGGGAAATGGAGACCCAGATCCTGCTGGGAATGTTACCATCAGCCTGGAGAAGACTCGGTCCCACTGAACAAGGCGTCCACATGGCATGACCATGGCACGTGTCTCCAAGGGAGAGCTCATGGGGTGGCTGCTACTGCAGCCTCCTTTGGGTCTGCTCCACAGGGACCAGGCTCTTTGCCCAGAAGGGCTGGGACTTGGTAGGAAATTCCTGCAAATTCCCAGTGTTGGGAATCTAGAGGAGCATGTCTCAGTGTCTGATGGAGGAAATGGGGCCTGTGAGCAGGGACA